GCTCGAGGAAGGGGAGGCGGGAGGCGGCGTTGGTGGAGAATGTGGCTTGCGACCGCGTGCGGGTTGGTAGACCAACATTGATGGGCTAACAACAGTTGAGTTCCATTGAAAAAATCCATGAGTTGCCTTTTTTTTATTTGTGAGAAACTTTGCGCAAAGATAAGGCGAAAATCACGACCTTGGCGTGCCAGACCTTGTTCGTCCCTGGTGGAGCACCACACCTGGTGGTGAACCTCAGCGATACGGTCGCCTTCGCTGGGAATTTCCTGGACGAATCCAACTTCGAGGCGGCAATGTTGATAGTTATATATATGTTCGATATCGTGGCGCGTGTTTGAAATGTCGAAGTGCACTTGTTTGATTTTCAATTTCGATTGTAGTTCGCTGGTTTTGATATATGCTGTCAAAGGATGCCACAAGAGAGATTATGTTCGTCAATTCAATTTTCGTTTCTTGCTAGGTTTGGCACTTGTCATGCATTGTGTGTTTGCTATGTTGTTTCAGTTTGCTGCAGCGGCCCCGCCGTCAGGCTGCCATGCATGACATCAAAGACATGGTTGCCAAAGAGGCTACTGATTGCGTAACATGTTTGTTTTTGACAACGTGCCACGCACATGTAGTGTCCGAAATGAAGAAAGATATTGATTTTTACACGGGTGATGTGTTCGCAGATTCGCGACTTGATGTGTTTGTCTTCAAAGTGCTGCCCTTTCCGCTGGATACATAGCGTGTTGAAATTCCATTATGGTTAATTGTATGACATGAGCATAGTGGGCCGTTTCAAAGAAATAACATCGCATGTGTTTATGCCATCATTTTTTTGACACAAAAAGGATCACGCTTTTGATATAGCACCAAGAAGTACTATACCCTTTTTTGGTGGATAGGTTTGTGCGACGCCCAGCCTCCAAAACATGTGAGCGAAAAAACATGCGATTACCAGAACAATACCTGCAAAAATCACAAAAACAATCAAACAACATGAATGCGCCACCTTTAGGGCTATAAAAACATGGAAAACTAGCACATTTGTTCTCGCCTGTCATTTACATGAAGGTCACATAAGTCACACATATCATCGCATATCCCGGTCCGGACCGATAATGCAAAAAGAAATGCGCACGGACAATTATGAAACACGTTGGAAGTTAAGTTATCAAACATGAGGATCAAGGTTGGAACATTCTGATGAAAATTACCGACGCCATGAAGCAAAACGTGGCAACGATTGATGACATTTAGTGATAACATGAAAAAAATCGTAGTAAACATATGTAACTTAATGATACGGGTCTTGTTTGTTTTTTGCGCCATAAGCAATCAAATCCATGAATAACATTTTTTTTGCGTCATTGTTCCCCAAAGTGGTACTTAAACACATGATTTGGTCATAAGCGACCAACTAGCCTGATGTCATTTGCTAACAAGGCCAAAAAATGGCGGCGCACAAAATCATTTCGGATGGCCACCAACTTACAATGAATGCGCCTTCATTGTGCTCTCACATGTGTCGGGTTAAAACCATGCTCATGTCATCTGCTCAGGGGGTCAAAAATCTTCACTTATTCCCACGTTATTTAACCCTATAATCGAAGGAAATTTAGAAGTCAAACTTCCGACAATATGGACAGATGAAAAGCAGAGCAGGGAAGAGGCAGAGAGAAGAGAAAGATCAGAAGGAAAGAAGATGGAGATGCGCGAAAAGGTAGGAAAGTCGCGAAACACTGTGTTTTTCCAATGATTTGTGGCTCTGGAGGGTCGAAAAGTAGGCTCGCTAAAGCGGCGAGTGCGGAGCCAGCTGGCCAGATAAGTGATGAAAAATTGCACGCCGTTGTGGCGCGAAGCAGATTTCCAAGTCAAAATGTACAAAACACACCAGTGTCGGACCACTTTTGGAAGTTGCGATGTCGAAAAAGTGCACGCCGTTGTGGCGCGAAGCACATTTCCAAGTCAAAAGTCAAAATGTACAAAACACACCATTGTCGGACCACTTTTGGAAGTTCAGATGTCGAAAAAGTGCACGCCGTTGTGGCGCGAAGCATATTTCCAAGTCAAAATGTACAAAACACACCAGGTTCGGACCACTTTTGGAAGTTCAGATGTCGAAAAAGTGGACGCCGATGTGGCGCGAAGCACATTTCCAAGTCAAAATGTACAAAGCACGCCATTCTCCGACCACTTTTGGAAGTTGAGATGTCGAAAAAGTGCACGCAGTTGTGGCGCGAAGGACATTTCGAAGTCAAAATGTTAAAAACACCAGGGGTTCGGACCACTTTTGGAGGTTCGGATGTCGCTTCGCTTCAATACACTACACTACAGGACATTACATTACACTACACTCCAGTACGCTACATTACACTACATTACACTCCAGTACACTCCACTACATTAAATTACACTACACCACACTACATTACATTGAATGACACTGCAACACAGATAGACAGGTAGGCAGCTAGACAGATAGACAGATGAAAGGGAGAGATAGATAGACAGGTAGGTAGATAGATAGATAGGTAATTAGATGAAAGAGAGAGAGAGAGAGGCCAGCTGGGTAGATGAGATAGATAGATAGATGGCTAGACAGATAGACAGACAGAAAGACAGACAGATCGATAGACAGATAGATAGCTAGATAGATCGATAGATAGATAGATAGACAGATAGATAGATCGATAGATAGATAGATAGATAGGCAGAAACACTCAATCACCTTTCGATCCATGAGTGGATTCGCTCTGCCATCCCTGGTTCACAACAACCAACCTCTCCTATAGGTTTCCTATTTTTGAAACTTCCGCCACCGCCTTGTGCGGTACTACTGGTATATAAATTCATTCGCGGTTTGGTTTCACATTTATGATTGTACCCAACTTTGCATCTCAATGTATTTTAGGTGTCGGTACCCCAGCAAACATGCTGGATTTCATGACAATAGATATGTGCCAAACATGCCAAGCGGTATTCTGCAAGTATGATGTTTTCATTTTATTTTATTGTGCCTTTGTTGAGCCAAATGCGACAGGAAACACTGTAGACACCAGACAAAACCCAAAACAATGTCGTTCCCACATTGTTTTTCTTCGTCGTTTGGACATTTGAGGTTGAAACTAGAATCATCTAGAACATGTGCTCTGCAAGAGCAAGGTCTCGGCGCGGTTCGTTGGCATCATCTCCCATTGTGTTTTGTCACTCCGTTCCAGCATTTGTCGCCATTGACAGGGCGAGAATGGTGTGATGGCAGGCGTTTGGGGTAGTGATGTTGCATGAGCAAATGTCTTGATGATGGCAAAACATGTTCAATCACGGTGTTTTTTTTTGTCTGTTGGTTTGCCACATGGTCGACAAATTGCATCATTTGGGGGGTTCCAGGTGGAAAACGAAAATTCGCTGTGTATATGGGATGACGCCCGTATCACCAGTGTCATGTTGCACGCCTTGGAGGCAATTAGTTCTATGTTGTTTGATTGATTTTTTGTCCCACATTCATGCATAAAGGTTGCAGTGTTGGTTTTAAAGCTGTAACAAACTGATCCAGGCATGTCTGGCATTCAAACCGTTTGTTGGGAACATACCTGCGCATATGCATGCATATGCGTCATTATTTTCATTCAGTCATGAAGGGAAGAGACGGGACACCTTTTGAACATGTGGTCCATTGTGTCGCTTAGGGAACGCACAGCACGCACATGACGCATGTCATCCCGAGACATATACCACCAGGCTTTCAAGCAGCTCTAGAGGACGGGCAAAGATTTTCGGATGGTAGGTGAATTGCGTTTCGGGTTTCCAAACGTAGTTGGCTTTGAATACAACTGGTGTGGCACTTTTGCTGTTTATATGTAAAATATACGGGTTTTGTGATGAAGTGAACCCGCACGATGGCTGTGTTTCATGGCGACCGGTGTGATAGACCAGGTCGGACTCGGTGATTGGGGCAGGAGATGGTGTTCGACCCAACCAAGTCCATGCACGAGGCTGATAACAAGTATGGGACGCAGACGTGTGAATAAACTTGCCAAATTGGTGGTGCATGAGCTTGTTCAAGCACCATAGATACAACATGTCACTGCAGGATTTTCATCGCGTTTCCATCAAAACATGGGAAAAATCGCATTATTGTCATTTTCTTGATAGGAAATGCTGAACCGTGAATATGTTTCACATTAACATATTTTCATTGGAGGTTCCTGGCGGGTCCTGTTGTCGCTTTAGGGAAAAAAAACACGGACATTTCATCTATTATTGCTTGTTGGTTCTAGTGAGATAATGAGAAAAGAAACTGTCATCCCTATTTCCAAGGAATGCCCTGAAAGGCCGTTAAGTTGAGTTTTGCAAGTCAACGCATTTTTTAGAAGTGAGCCACAGGGTTGTTCCAGGCATGTTCCATACGAATTGGGCCCCCCAAAAAAACATATACATGTATCCATTTGTTTGATATTGCTATATATGGCTTTTGGGGTGATAAACGCGCATGCATTTAAATTGATGTTGTCGGCGTGGTGTTTTTGTGGCTACGGGATGCCGCTTTCAGGAGAGCTTAACCAGTTCATTTTCTAGCGAAATACGTGTTGTTTTGTTTGTTTCAATTTCTGGAACAGGTTTTGGTGATTTTTACACAATGCTTTTCACTAGTGTTTTGAAAGAAGGTGGTCAGCTGTACACCCATGCAAATGTTCCTTCAAAGTGTGCATGTGCAAGACAGACATGCACCATTGCTAGTGCATTGGCTACACGCAAAATTGTATCTTGAAAACGATGGTCTCTTGTGAACTGCCTCCCTCAAAAAAAACAATGGGTATGCCGCAGGGAAAATGCATACGATTGAACAAGACTCATGCAACTGCAACATTTGAAACTGTGGAATGATTCATTTCCGAAGACGTTTTGTAGATTGATGTTGCTTCCGTTTGGATTCCAGCAAAGTAAAACCCAATCCCCTCGTGTGATTCCAACCTCAAAGTGGCAACAACATTCCTGCCGTCCAATCATCAGTAGCCATGAAACGTCCTCGTAGCGATGCTGCCGTGTTTCCTTTGGCGAAGCCCCTGGCTGGGCGCTTCGTGTTGTACGGAAACATCTGTGTAGATTGCACGATGCAAGTTCCCAGTTTTCCGCACCTTGGATCCAGGGCTGGTGGTAGGTGTCATCGGCAATCTTGGATGGTATGGGTTGATTGCTACCATTCCCAGCGGCGAATCTTGAGTTTGCTGGGGTTGTCATGCAAGGGTTTCAGGACATGGTTGTGGTTGGACAGCAGCGCACGTTGTGAAACCGTCCTTGTTTCAAGATTGGGTAAATAATGATGCAGTCATGTGTGTATATTAAAATTGTTCGTGGTTCGGCCACATCCAGCACACCATGCATTTTATCCAATTATTCCATGTTTTTGGGGCGCATCTCAAAATCTTTGCAAAAGCGTATTTTATTTTTCTTGGCCGTCTACTCAATACGAAAGACTTTGGGTTAACTTGTTTGCCAACCGTTGCGGGCCAAGGACAATTAGTAAGCATGGCACGGACATGTATATATACATACATGATGCGTTTGTGATCATGTGACCATGCAGACATGGGTTTCATATATTTACATATCGTCATGCGTGGGCGCACTTTGCTCCAGATGTATATAGCATTCACGTTCTATCTCTAGGCCTCTAGGCATACAGTTTTTAAAAGAACATATTTATATGTGTTGTGTATTCACCCTCTTGCACATACAGTTTTCAACTTCAGTGTCCGAACACCAACAATACGAAACACACCCAGGAAAGAAGATTCCAGCCTACGCGCCCAAAGTTTTGCCAAGAAGACGGGTGGCAACGGTGCCAACAGCTGCATCGTTTTGGCGCAGTTGGTGAGATCCAAAGGCACCAGACATTGCGTGACTTTGTTGAGCATCATCCCAGATCGGAAACATTCCGATGCGCCTAAGCTGCGTTTAAATGGGTTAGTATATTTTTCCGTGGTCCTAGATATGTATTGGTGGCAGGTGGCGCTCTTGCGAAGCATACCCCCGAAGCATACCCCGAAGCATAGCCCCGAAGCATACCCCGAAGCAAACCCCCCAAAATGAAGATCATTTTTGAGGGTTGTTATTTGGAGATCTTGGGCTCAAATATATCAAGATGGGTCGCGACACTTGCTTCATTTGGGATGAATCCCGTCTGAAATCCAATGGCTGGCAGAGCACCTGGGTGATCAGCATGGGCATCAAGAAGAACCGGGTGGCTTCCAGGTAGAAAAAGGAAGACATCGATCAACTCCTCAAGCTGTGCCAAGAACACGAAGGTGAGACCCTTGAGCAGCTGAAGGCCCTATGCGTTTCTCGAAGAGAGAACCGACCTCAGGACTGGTTTTTGATTTGGTCAGCAGCTGGTGGGTGGACTTTTTTTGTTTCCAAAGACTCATAGATCAATGTGCTACCACTTGGCTACACACCTGGGGGTCACTTGGGGCTATTAATGGGTAAGGACATGGTAATAACCCCATAAGATGGGATACCTGTAAAAACTATCGTTTCTTCAGCCCTTGCAATTGCAACTGCACTCTCAACAAGGGTTTGTCCAAACATAATCATTAAGAATTAGATTTTCAAGGGGTGCTCTGGCAAACCCAGTTGGTGCAGGAGTCAGCACCAATGGACTTGGATGGCCTTTTTGAGCAAGCCAGCGGAGAAACTGCAGAGCGCCAGGTTGTTGAGGCACCAGCCGCCGCTCGGATCAACAATTTGTGGCTTGCTGCTGCTGCATGCTAGCCAGGGGAATGGGGGAGTGGGTTGGCTCCTGGGATGGAATTGTGAACTCAGAGCCTGTCATGCTATTTGCAAAGCACGTGCTTCTTGGCCCAGGAGTCACGGCCGAGTAAGATACTTCACATCTCTGCATAAGACATCCTTGCCCATACCGCCATGGCACCAAAGCAATCGGCAAAGGGCCAAGAGAACCATTGCCGCAACCGCATCAATGCCGTGGTCAGGGATGTTAGAGAGAAGCTTGGGTCGGATGGCCTTGTTCGTTGCCTTTCGAGAACGCTGTCAGAAGATGAGTTCTCCAAGCTCAAAGAAATTAAAGATGATGATGCCCACATCCATGCGTTTGCTGTAGAAGTGGCAACACGTAGCGAGAGCAGCAGTGCAGCGCAGGAGATCATCGCTGGCGCTGCCCAATCCACGCTTGGAAGCAGGAGCAAAGCAAAGGCTTTACAGCTACCAGTTCCAGGCATGCGGCTCTGGTCTCGTGTGCGCAGAGGTAAAGCAAAGCAAAAGGCAAGGAGAAAAACCAAGGTACATTCTCCAAACAGCCGTGACAAAGTTCAAGTCTTCTTGTTGGAGAATGCTACAGCAACTGCGAGGCTTTACAAATTTGGCAACAAAACTGTGCCTGTCTACAACTTAAAGACATCCCGTGGGAGATTGTGGGCCAGGAGTTCAGAAATGCAGCAGCTGCTGTCTCGTGCAACATGGTACTTGCATTTGAAGAGATATCATCCTAATATTGTTCGGCTCAAATGCCGGACCGATGTGTGCACCTTTTGCCACGAGTATGACAAGGTGCTTCTGCCTGCTCTGCGACGGGACCTGGACAAAGGTCGCGGTGTCAAATTACTGCTGTGCATGCCACCTATTTTGATTCCATGGATCAGCATTGGGCCAATATGGCGGCAGCTGAGCGCACCGACCCTGATCGCCAGTTGTCTTTGCAATACGTCAAATTTATATACCCCTTACAATACCCCCACGTAAAATGGTGGGGGCCCTGTCCCCCGGTAAAACGTTTTATTCAGTGAGAATAGGGGGTCAGGCGTTGATTTTATTGGAGGACACTGTTATATCCAGGTCCCACATAAGCATTTTATTGGAACCTGCATCTGCCACACAAGCATTCTATAAAATGCATGGTTTGCACTACCTCAACCAGCAGGTTTTGCTTCAGTGGAAAGAGACAGGGTCTATAAAATCCATAGTGTCGACCTACCTGATGCACAGGTTTTGCCCAGAACCTATGTCATGGAAAGCCACAATTACAAATAAAATGCTTGAGTCTTACTCCCTGATGTCTTAAGTTTTTGAAAAGCAATGGTTTGAATCTGTTTGAAGAATCAGAAGCAAAGCAAGCCCGAGGAAAAACTTAGAGCAGCATGCCAGCAGGGGACACCTGCAGTGGCCACAGCAGTGTAGTGGCCACAGCAGTGGCCCTGTTTTATGGTGTATGCAGGGGGTCAGACACTGTCATTTTATAGACCCTGGCTTTTGCCAACCCGCATTTGTCACCCCCTGTGCCATTTTATAGGTCATGCAGGGGGTCAGGCCCTGTCATTTTATAGACCCTAGCTTTTGCCAGAGCAGGCATGCATTGAAGCAATCCATGTGGCTTGTCTGGTTGCACAGTTCATATATATTCATATGAAACCAGCAGGGGTTTCACATAGGCTCATGCAAAAAGAAGCCAGAGGCATCTCAGAAGCAAAGCAAGCCCGAGGAAAACCAGAACTTGGTTTTGAATTGTCTTGATCTATCAGAAACCCGTACAGAAATTCCTACGGAAACCACGGAAATCCGCACGGAAACCCGTACGGAAATCCGTACGGATTTCCGTACGGATGGCATGATAGGCAACAACATCATCCGTACGGATTGCCATATGATCAGTATATTTTGCATGTTTCGGGGTCAGACCATAGATTTTATGGAAATAGCTTTGGGCTCAGGCATAAGCATTTTATTTCTAAAGGGGTCATGGCCAGCTGTTTTATATCAATAGAATGGGGTGCATTGACCCCCTCCTGGGTATCGTTAGGAGTATAAATTTATGAGGCTTTTCGTTGATAAGATTGCTGCAGACAGGCTTCGGGTGCCATCGCAGCCAGGAACTCTGGCGTGGAGACAGCAGCTGAAAGAGGCTGAAGCTGCTACCTCCGACACGCTCAAGAAGTATATCGGCATTCTGGAGTCTTGCGTTCATCATTTCTCGACCGTCCGCAGGCAACACCAAACAAGGGAACAGCAAGAAAATGACGTCCCGAAGACAAGTTTGCTCATCCAACTGGATTTCATGGAGAATATGACTTGGCCACTTGGGCCGGAAGAAGCTCAAGATTGGTTCTGGGCCACAGCTCGGGAGAGCATGACCACGTTGGGGTTCTATTGCTGTGTGTGGAGAGGCGAAAGGCTTTGCAAGGAGAATTACCACTACATCTCCCAAATCCTGAACCATGATTCTGCATACGCTTGTCAATGCCTGCCGCTCTCCTGCAATAATTTGGAACCCCTTTTTCCCCTTCCATTTTGTTCTATTGATGATTTATCTTGTTGGATTTTGTCATGCCGCCGGCAAGGAATGACTTGATTGCCTCTCTCCTGGTGGGCGACGTGGATCATATGCATTGCTGGGCGGATTGCGGACCGCATTTCCGCAGCTATGAATTGTTGTGGAACCTTGTGGAGCAGTGCAGGGATCGGTTTCCTCGTGTTACTTTGCATTTCTTTGCTGAGCATCATGGTAAGGGGAGGTGTGATGGAGCCTTCGGGCTCCAGAGGCGGTGGGTGGCAGACTATGCTCGCACAACAACAATTGATTCCTTGCAAGGCATGAAATCCGCCTTGGAAACTGGAGCAAGCAATGACAATGTCTTTAGACCCGCCGCCTCGAGGCCCTGTTTACAAACAAGGTCAAAATTTTCGAGCCCAAGAAGAAAGACAGCGTGAAGAAGTTTGATGTTTCTGGCACTGACCTTCAGATTGAATATACGTATTGTTTGTCATTGCAACGTGCCACCCAGGGGCATGTCAGAGTTCGGAACTTCTGCTTCTCCGACCGCTTGCACGACAGAAATACTGGAAGTATGCTTGGGAAGGCATCTTGCACCACACAACAGTGCACAGAAGAATAATGGAGGCGCTCCTATAGGCAACAGGTGCCAGAGAAAACGCCTCTCAACACAGCCTTGCTCCAACGAAGGCTTGACAGGCAAAAAAGTTTTCAAATTTACCAATGGTTTTCCGAAGAGATTCTGTGCTCACAGCTTTGCGCCGCAAAGAAAAGCGTGCAGCAGCGGCAAGAGTGAAATACCAAGGGCAAAAGCGAGTGCTGGCTGTCAATCTGCAAGAGGCAGACAGTAGCTCCGGAGAGGACACTAGTTCGCAATCCTCTGGATAAAAGTGGGAGAGTGCGGGCAACCGCGATCGTTTCTTACCATCGCCAATGGCAGGGTCCTTTTTTGGGAAATGACTCTTAGAGATCTGACACCTAAAGTGTATATTTGCTGGCCGCAAGTGTTCCGCCAACAAGGTCCTTGTCTATCGAAACAACCGTGCCTGCTACTGCCAGCTATGTCTTGAACCAACTACCTGCTGTCAGGAACAATCATGCCTCCTGCAGCCAGCTTTGTCTTGAACCAAGTACCTGCTGTCAGGAACAATCGTGCCTCCTGCAGCCAGCTATGTCTTGAACCAATTACATGCTGTCAGAAACAATCGTGCTTCCTGCAGCCAGCTACGTCTTGAACCAACCACCTGCTGTCAGGAACAATCGTGCCTCCTGCAGCCAGCTTTGTCTTGAACCAAGTACCTGCTGTCAAGAACAATCGTGCCTTCTGCAGCCAGCTATGGCTTGAACCAACCACCTGCTGTCAGGAACAAACGTGCTTCCTACAGCCAGCTATGCCTTGAACCAACTATACTTGCTGTCAGAACTAGCCTCGGGCTTCACCTGTAGTCAGACTCTGGCCTTTGGCGGTTGATTTAGACCAGAAAACCATACGTGTCTCTCTCTCTCTCTATATATATATATATGCGTGCAAGGATACACACAGAGATATACAAGAGGTTGGAAAGTTTGTTGGAAGCCTCTTAGATATGAAGTAAGTTCCATGTGATGAAGTACATGCGAAGCATACCCCGAAGATCCCCGAAGCATACCCCCGAAGCAAACCCCGAAGCATACCTCCGAAGCATACCCCCTAGACAAACCTTCCAGTGGGGATACAGTATTTCCAGACGAACCCAAATTGTTTGTGGGATTTGAAATCATAGGTTTGAGCTATACGTGATGTGCATTTATCATTCACACTTGTCTGCGAGCAAGTGGAACCGAGTGGCTAGAGCCAGCCTCAAGGTTGCGTAGTCAACCAGGAAGAAATGAAAACCATGCTCAAGCATTTGAAATAAAGATTTGCATCCGCTTGGGCCGCCCAAACGTAATAAAACGCGTGGAACAATCCAAAGATGTCTAGCTGGAACTACCCGCGTTTGCCGATTTTTGAAATTTTGACCATTGGCATGCTTAAGTCGGACAGGCGTTCTATTTTCGTAGTGAGTTTGTGTCAGTTTTTTTTTGGGTGCCTGTGCACATTTACTTTTTGGAAATACATGGAGAACACATCACAGCTTAGGTAGCGGCGCCGTTCAAAAGCATGAAACCATTCAGATTAATCAGGATCACTTGGAGGTTTTAAACTCTTTCAATTTCTTTTGTTTTCCGACATCTGTGTGTGTCGTCCCAATATTTTGCATATTTTGTTGTTTTTTGTTTTCCCTTTTTCCTCTTCAGTTTGGTTGTCTTTTTGACAAACGAGGTGGTTTCCCAATTTCAAAACCATCATACCAACAATCCTTTATAAAACCTTCATTACTGTAGTACAAGCATATACTATGTACAGATCCTGAAACAAACCCGCCACGTCAATGTCGGGGCTGAAAGCGGCCATCAAGGCCATGTTCGCCATCACCACCCTGGAGCGTCATGGCGTGGACACCTCGCGGCTCCAGGATGCCAGCCGCGACGTCACGGACGTTGGGCTGCCAACAAGCTTCGTGCTGCTCAGCGAGGACACGGGGGCGAGGACCATCGTGTCCTCCAGGTGTGGCTTAAAGGAATCTCTGCTGCAACATTGTACTTGGTGGCTCATCCCACTTAGTAAGTGGGTTATAACCCCAGTTATACATGGGATAAGTAGGGTTAATCCACTTATAACTGGGGTTATAACCCACTTACTAAGTGGGATGAGCCACCAAGTAGCGATGCTTGTTGCGGTGGTGAGCTTGGGTTGGATGGGAGGGCAAGAATACTGATAACATCTGATAACACTGTCGACAGGCTGTGGCTGAACGGAAATCATGGGAACTTGATCAACGAATTATGGCATGATATTGCTGTTGAAATTTGTCGCGCCTACAGTTTCAACATTAGATCAAAGTGGCGTGCAATGGACGTTTGTACATCGCAAACTAACGGAAATTCTTCTGGGTTTGTAGCACCGCAATAATCACCTCAATAAGCGATCAAGGATGACGATCAATTTGGATATGACATGCTCACGGGTGACCGTTGGTCATTGAATGTTTGAAACTTGATACATCTTGATACAGCATTTTTTGGATTGTAGCTGTCCGCAATGCTGCCCACCAACAAAGTGCTCGGCAGAAGAGAAGAATTCCAACGTGGTTATGCATACTCCTATGGTGCCGGTTTTTTTAATTCTGATGTCCCTCGCATGTTCTAGAATCACCGTGAACCACCAGTCCCCCCCTACGGACAGCAGTGAGCATGCAAGGAGATGGATGCAACTCATTTCCAAGAAGCATTGGCACATTCCAAGGATCTTTGTTGCTGGCCCGCAGATCCTGCTCAATTCCGTCATTGGTTTGGGGATGTGCCCATTCACGGGCGAATTCCAAGCAGTCCAATCAAGTCTGAAATGATTTTTCTAATTATGTGATCCGCATGTAAGAAGATATTATTGACAAAAATGATGACATAGATATTTGACATCTGACCATGTGTCGAAAATAGTTACCCTCTGGTCATTTAACATAGCCATGGAAACTGGCCCTTTTTTAGATGGTTTACCTATGTTTACCTATTAAAAATGGTGGTTTTCCATGGCTTTGTTAAATAACCAGATGGTATCAGAAGTTTGGTGCCACTTGTTGATAATTCATATGGACCTAGATGGATCTAGTGGTTTCTCCTCTTCGCTGGCGGCACGTGCCTAAATCCACCAAGTCTGCCAGGCAGCGCTAGCAAACCCGCTAGGTTTGCTCCAGTTTTTTTTTCATATATTCATTTTCAAAGATTAATTCTGTATGGTTCTGCGGCTCTATTTTTCCACGTGTTTTTTCATATGGAACGTTTCTTAATAAATTCTTTTGCTTGAAACCAAGTCCGACCTAGTCAACATATCAACATATGCGTTGTTCCTATAGCATTGGAGAAAAGAACATCATGCAACCAACATGATGTATGCAGTCATTTCAGGACCTTGTCTAGTTGGTTGTAAATTTGGGGATTGGATGTCCGGGAGGGATCTGTAACCTGAGACTAGCAGCGGCATCCACTCCCAATAGACGTGCGCTAGAATTTCCTGCAGGCTTTAGATGCGGCTTCAAACATAAAAAAGATGATGTATAAAGTGTAGGTTTTCTTTTTACACAACTCATAGCTTTGAAGACCAGAGCAAGAAGCGGCACACATGGAATTACGTTTTATCAACCAAAACAGAAGAATACATTTTGACAAACCCTCATGTGAATATGTTTTATATGTATGTATAATTTCAGTTGTTTCACTTGCTTATTTTTTTGAATTGTTTGTTTATAGCTTGACATGAGCCTGACATGGCACATACCCTGACATGTAGGCTGACACATACGCTGACATTTGGCCTGAACAAATCTGCACATGTAGCTTGACATCGAGTATGAGTATGGCGTGCACTTTGACATTTACACACCTTTTATCTTGAAATATACGGTGACTTTGACATGTAGCCTGAGATGTAGTCATGTGTATAATACATATATATATATATATATGTGTGTGTGTGTTAGGCATACATTCTGCCACTTGAGGTGGCAAATTTCATGTGATACACATTTTAACATTTGCCCTGGCAAGTATGAAGGACCTTTTTTATCCTTTTTTGACATGTATTCTTACCATTTTTGTTTTTGCCCCGGCACATCTAATATGACATCAAATGACATGCAATGAGGTCTGCACACAGAGCCCTGGAACTTGGTCTAGGGTTGAAGTTGAAGTCTCGTCCAGCACAGAATCATACAGAATCCAAAGAGTCAGGAAGCTGTGTGTGGAGTGCAGGTACGTAGCTAAATCAGCACCCCCTTGTTGTCATGAAGGCATTTGTTGCTGGGAGAGATCCTATCACAAGGGATTGCGGAAAATTCATCCGGTGCAGCAATGCATCAAAGACAACAATGTATTCCGCAAGGAGTGGGCCACAATCTCACACAACGCCATCTGCAGTGACATCTAACATAATAATTTCACATGATTTCACTTACAAAGTCTATGAAAGAATCATCACAATCCCTTGGAAATTACCCATGGTTTCTTTCCTGAAGTCCATTCAGGTTGAAGCTTTTCTGATGCTTTGCCAATGTTAAATCGATTGCCTTGGCCCAGGCTGGTGCCATTTGGAATTTCGCCAGCCCGGTATCCCGCAGATGCTGCGTGCATTGGCGGCGCTTCCGGCCACGCTTGGGATCACAGCACCGGTGGCGTCGATGGAAGTGGAGAAACCCAGCGTGGAGGTGCAGCAAGTGCTGCCGCTGTTGCAACTTGGGTGATGGACAAAAATTGCGTTGTAAAATGCTAAACTCAATGGTAAATCAGAAGTTGGTATGGTTCAATGAGAACCATGGTGACATCCAAATTCCTTTAAACGGAGATTATGTCATAGTTCTAATGTCTTTGAACTTACCGCAGTGAAACATAGTTTTAAAAGTGGCTGGGTGGATATTTATGACTGGTCATCGGTCCGAAGTTCTCTGAAAATTGCAGGGGGAAACATGGATGTATGTCTGTGCATGAGAGGGCTAGACCTTAATCATTCCAGATTGGGACATCAGCACATCAACATGCAGGTGTAAAGTGACGTCATACCTGGGTTTCGCCACCCCATGTGGATGGATCTGTGATTGAACACTTGGGCAAATTGCATGGTTGGGCCTTTTGTACCAATTGATTCAGCACACAGAAATGCGTAGACACGCGTCATTGTGATAGCCATAACACTGCACATTAGTTGCGGTAATTTTCATACTGCTAGAAAGCTGTATGGCCCCAGAAGTTCACACACATAACCCCCTGGCTCCAATCATGGCATTGCTTGTCTTTTTGTTGGCAACTTGGCCTTCTTGTGATTAATCACAAGCGCCATGCGCGCCTTAGACGCCAAAGCCAAGACAAACTGGGGATATGAACTCCAGCTCTTGAACGTGGCTAACTGGTTCCATGTAATTATGGACTTGCTCGCAAAAAAAAAGTACTGGAACGGTTGTAAATATTCAAAACAGGATTTCATCTTGGGAAGAGTCGTGGGAACTTTACCCGTTGATTTTGCAGTGACCAGGCGCTTCCACAGAACCATCGACGCATATACATAGATATATAATGATATATGGGTACGAATCAAAATGCAAGGTATGGATCAAGGCCCCGGACCCACACACGATCCATACCCCCCGATCCATACCTTGATCCATACCCCATGATACTGCATGATCCATACCCTTGATCCATACCCCTGATCCATACCCCTGATCCGTACCCATTTCTCGTTGAAGAAAGACTGATGCTGGCCCTAATGCTGCTTTTTATCCTAATACTGCTTCTGGTCCTCGTACTGCTACTCCCGTTGCTACTACCGTTGTTTCTACTGCTGCCTCCGCTGCCTCCGCTGCCTCCGCTGCCTCCGCCGCCTCCGCTGCCTCCGCTCGCTGCCTCCGCTGCCTCCGTGCTGCTGCTGCTGTGCTGTTGCTGCTGCTGCTGCCACTACTAGTCATCTTCCTCCCAGGAGCTGCTGCTCCTGCTGGTCCTGCTCCCGCTGCTGGTGCTGATTGAATTCCTCCGTGTGCTTCTGGTTGTTGGACAAATGCAACTAGTTGACTAGCTACTAGCAATACTGCAAGTGCACTTCTTGTACTTCTATAGTGGCGCTATGATTACAATTCCTTCTGTTTCTGCTTTGCCTGGCACGTGTAGAACTAGACCAGACTAGAAATACCCCGCTCTCTTCCTTCACAGCCATAGCGGGAAAGCCGGCCCAGATAGCATGTCCCGATCCATACCCCGATCCATACCCGTTCCATACCCGATCCATACCCGAGCCCAGTCACGCCACAACAAATGCCAATATGATAGTCCGATTCTATTACGACTTCTACTTCTACTGCTTCTACTGCTTCTACTGCTGCTGCTTCTGCTTCTACTTCTACTTCTACTACTACTACTACTACTACTCCTACTCCTACTCCTACTCCTACTCCCACTCCTACTACTACTACTACTACTACTACCACTACTACCACTACTACCACTACTACCACTACTACCACTACTACCACTACTACCACTACTACCACCACTACTACTACTACTACTACTACTCCTCCTACCCCTACTCCTGGTACAACTGCAGCTGCTGCTGCTACTTCCATTAGATTACTATTATTACTTTGACTTTTACTAGTACTACTGGTACTGCTACTGCTATTCCTACTGCTACTGCATCTCCTCCTTGTATTGCCACTACTGCTGCTGGTGCTGTTTTTTTTTACTGCTCCCTCTACTAGCAGTGGTAGCAGTTTTAGCAGCAACAGTAGCAGGAGGAGAAGTAATAGCAAGTAGGAGATAGTAGGAGTATCAGCACAGTTTGTATGCTATGATGAGCCCTTAGGAAAGGGTACGGATCAGGCACCTTACGTAACCACTCCCGATCCATAGTACGGATCACCGCGGGGCATATAATGATATATGTATGTGTATATATATATATATGTGTATAGTTATATATATATAATGTCATATGTGCATTCGCTGAATCCAGCCCTTTTGGCTCAGGCACCTTTGCGACGTTGTCTTCTTTTCCAGCGACTTCATCCGCGCCCGCGCTGCAGATCTCCAGGTGGCACTTGGTAATTGCGGAGACGACTGGCAGAACCATGGGGCCCTGCGGTGCCTGCGGGCCATGGCGACACAGGCGAGTGCCACGCGTGCGGCTGAGCTGAACGGGTTGACAGTTGCTGGTGTTTGGAAAGGTGGAACCACAGATGCTTTGAAATTATATGTTTGACTCGATCTGCACATGTCAAATAGTTTGAGTGATTATATAGATGTTGCGGATGTTTGTTATATACGTTATATTCTCACGAGCCGCACTTATATATGTTCGTTTCCAAGTCGTAACATGCATTACATTTGCTTCTTTGCATTTTAGAACGAAGTAGGAGGTGGCAAACATTTTCCCTTTTCACCACTCTGCTCGGACCGTTTCCTCTTCAAAGGGCGGAACGGTGCTGGCCCAAGGCTCTCCTCATTTGCCCTTGGGGTTCCCTGGGAGCCTTTGCTCTCGACACATCCTCCAGCGACGCCTTTTTCCAAGCGGCGGAAAAGGTGGAAGCAGTCGACTCCCTGGGAGCAGGTGGGTTGCAAGGGAGTTGGGAGCTTCCGGCCCCCCCAAAAAAAGGCGGCGATTGCGGTTTATATGGCTTGGGGGCAAGTTAGTTCCATCAATGTGCCATTTCGACTCACGATGGTGCACATGATTGGGTCTTGCAGCCGTCCCTATGTTGATATCTTTAAGGTCATTTGATTTGCCACTTGCTGGCGGGATGAAAGGGAGGTTCTCAAACTTTCTGAAATTTCTTCTTTCCGGTATCTATCTAGTAGTACACAGGCGTATAGATTTTGATTCCCCCTTTCAAAAACAATCCAATCTGGTCCTGGCAAGAAGCTATGACGGTGACCCAGCCACTTTTTGGTTACCCGCACGTTCTCCCGTCCTGTGCCTTTGCACATGCCACGGAGTTCACCAGATCCCAGGTGATACCTTCATTGCTGCCAGCATTTTTGCATTGGCTTTCGGTGCCGGTATCTTGACGCTTCTGGCAACACCCTGGGTCAGAGTGCCAGTTTTTTTCTCGCGGGTATTTTTCCAGATGTTTATAAGCAAGCTCAAGCAGGTGATTTTACTAATTACATGTTTTTCTAGCATGCCCACACTTACATGTACATTCACCTAGCTGTAGACATTTAAGTATGCCGCTTAATTGCCTACAAGTATATTTGCACGTCAGCCAATGAATTTACATGATTTCTTAATACATTCTAAACTCTGCCGGTGAAAACATCAAAACATGGGAACGTACACAAATGTATGAAAGAGTAAAATTACGCACGCGCATTGATATATGATATATACATAATTATGTAGACATGTATTTGTTTTATTATAGCACATACATTGGCAATTTTATGTAGAATATATGTTTACGCTTGAATACATACGTACAGGCACACAAAAACACACAGGCAAGGGAATAATAAATATGCTGTCTGCCATATACCAAATATATATATATGTGATTTATTCATATATATATATATGTATTTATACATAATAGTTAACACACTCACACTTTACGTCATGTATATAAATATTCACATATATCATATATATATATATATATATGAGTGTGTGTGTGTGCGTATACATATATACATACACATATATATATATATATACATGTTTGCATTTTTTGGGTGTGTATCAATTTGCGAAGCAACTTCATCGCATAGCTTTCAGCCAATGCATCAACAATGTGAACATATTTCCCGGTATACTTGATATATGATGTTAAACATGTACACGTACATATACTTCAATACTTAAAAAAATGCATGTTGGAACATGTTGAAACCTTTCCTGCTCTCAGTCCCACTGTGTTACCTCCAGGTCCCCAGGATGCCCTGCGCTGCGCCTGCACAGTGGCTGGCCGCAAGGTGGCGCAACGCGGCCTGGAAAACTTGGCGCAGCTGTTGCCTGAGATGCCGTGGCCGCACAATGCCGGAGATGCTCCATGAGATGGCTGATATTGTGTTAATGAACAGTATGTAAATCCATCTCTATGACCAAAGCCAAAAGGTAGATTAGATAGATGGATAGACAGATAGATAGATAGCTAGATAGACAGACAGCTATCACATATACATTTATATTTATATATAGAGTTATATCAACACATGGAGTAGTTTGATCATCGTACTGCAGATATTTGTGGTGATATTGTTGGTAGGTTTAATTTTAAACTGTTAGGTTCGAATTTTACAAGAAACCATCCTTAGATACAACATGTGCGATGGTGGAATGACGTTTTGGCGATTGCTGGTGGGAGTGTTTGAGCCCTGAGCCAGATAGAGTCACCTGTCACCCCCACAGCGAGATGCAGCTAGATCCTTGTAGGTCTGATCCAACGCCTTGCTCCTCCAGTTTGGGGGGCTCTTTGATGGCAAATCAACAGAAAGGGTCCAAGGGCATCAAAGCATGCTCCGTGGCCCAGTGGTTTGATAGATTCGATTATGTTCCCGCCAGCTTGGAAGGGGCAGAAAATCTTCAAGCGAAAAAAAACATGCAAACACATCTCATGAGACACGTGAAAGCGTCAGGAAACCGCCCCGCACCCATAAGTCCGTTGGTTTTGGCCACGGCAGTTCCACATGACGGTTGAAAATCAACAAAAATCAATAGTATGACCTGCGACAGGAAGCGCTTCCTGCTTCCATGATGGCTGTTCACTACAGCGACTTTTCTGGCGGTGCGGCGGCAGGCAGCTGGGGTGTTGGGGTTGGCATGGTTTGGTCTTATACACGCCCCATGGGTATGACCGGCCAGGGGCTCCAAAATGACAACCAGAAGCTGGCGATTCAAACCCAGTTTTTGTTGCCATCACATTTAGAGAGGGCTAACACACAGACATCCTCACATTAAAGGGTTCATGGGTCGCAGCTAGCAAATTTTCACACATTCAACGCACCTTTCAGGTGAGTTCAATGGGGATTATTTCCTTACCTGACCACGCAGAAGAACATTTTTTGCCTCAAATTTAGGATAGCAAGTCTTGCAATATTGGTTTGACAGAACTTACCGGATTCTGGATACCATGTTGCGTGCATTCACAATGCAGGGTGTGGTGTCACTTTTCCAGATGCGAACCGACTTTATCAACCAAGGGTCATTTGAAACATTTTGGAACCTGTGCAGACAGGTTGGGGGCCCGTTCCACCAGATGAGATGACCTGCGACGAAAAAAGGGGCACTGCTACAGTTTGCCAGCTGCCTGGGAGATTGAAGATACACCCCTCCCAAAAATACTATATAAATTAAATTAAGTGTTTTTTTTGGGGGGGGCTGCTTGGGCATAGTCCAATCCATGATGCGGGTGAATTCCCTGCACAATTGAGGTTGGTTACATCTACAACAGCTATATCCTAGACATCATTCAGCCCAGAAAGGAATTGTTCCCAAAATAACAATCCCAGATTTCTTTCTCGTTGTTTTTACATTGTTTTTACGTTGTGAGCGCCAAGTGTTAGTGAATCAACTCCCCATTCTTTGCTGGCAGTCACTGGAAGGGTCCCTGCGTTGTGCCACGCAGGGGTTGCAACCTGGACACCGCCACCTGCCGCGCGGAAGCTCCCAGGGATTGTGAGGTTGGTGCATGGAGTCCATGGAGGCGTGGACCAACGCCATTCCTTTTCCCAGAGATTTTAATTGTCTAGTGGGGAAATCATCTATAAATGGAATAAAGGGGAGCTTTAATGGGAAAATCTAGAGATTTGAAGGGAATATAATGGGATACCAGGTCTTTAATGGATTTTTTCCCCACTGGTCAAGATCCACAATGCCAGAGTTGGACCATATCTGGTTGTTAGACCCAATTTTTAGATCCAATAAAACGGTGACTATGAGATTCAAGTTTCATCCAGTTTGTAGGTTTATACCATTTTATACCCAATTTCACAAACTTGACGATGGTGACTAATTGATGGCGATCATCAATGCGAATGTTTTCATATATTAGTTTACCCTCAATTTGGTGTCGAATGTGTTCGGCTTGCGCAGGGACTGGTCTACTTGCTCTCAACTATGCGATGGTGGGCAACGCTCAGTTCGCTTGTGCTGCGGTGGTTTCAAACAAAATACCCATGAATTACCAATATTCGAATACAGTACTGATGGGGAAAATATGTTGAAACACACACACACACACACATATATATATATATATATAGGATTATATAGGTTAGAGAGAAAGCATTGGCCCGTTCTATGGCCAGTGGAGATTCCAAGGGTGATTGACTTTCGTGTGGAGCATGGCTTTTGCGACAAGGCGTCGCGGTCGCGAGATTTGCAGGGAATGGCGTGTTTCCCTTTGTTCAAGGCAAATCCACATCTGACTACCACCATCTACCCCTCCACCCAACGTCATATGAGGCTGTGGCTGGACATTCTTCGACATTTCCACATATTCCCACCCCTGTTTGTAAAGATAAAGCTATATCAGAATTATACAAACATATCCAAACGTGATGTATACCTGGTATACAAAAAGGCAAAATGTAGCTGGTAGAAAGGATGATAATGTATGAGACAATCCTTTTAAATTGCATTTAGATCCCTTTTTTTGGGTCCCGACCCATGTCTGGGACCCAGATGATGGGGGGAACATCCAATCCAGCAGCCACGTCAGGTTGACGGTATCAAAGATAAAAATGGAATCGGGTTCAATAATCCGATGGGGATATGGATATTAATAGTGTTGATGGTTCATCATTTTTGAACCTCAGCATGTATATATAATCATAGGTTCATCGTTTTATTTTTTGGGGGGATGAGCCTCATTTTGCATGTGTGTACACATCTTCTATCATATTCTTCCGGAATTTTCAGGGTGTTCAGCTGCCACCAGCCAGTGGGGAAACGCCTGGCAGGTGCATCCGGCCAACCTGGACTGTCCCATGGATCTCTGGACCAGACGGAGCCATGTCGGGGCGACCCGGGGTCCAGAAATTGGGGATGGTGACCGGATGGTTGCTATTAACCCCCAAACAGATTGAAAAGGTTCAAGCTATACCTTTTTATGATTTTACATGTTCTATTTCTGATTATAATATGTTGTGATATCTTTTTTGGATAGAATTAGGGGTGCTGTCGGCTGTAACCCGGCTTCGGCTTGGTGCATGGAACCACTCTATGCAGATCCATGCAGTACCCAGGGTCATGGTGTTTTGATTGTTTCCTTTAGGAAACCAACCACTGGCTGGCACCTCCCCAGAATTCCACCAGCCGCCACGCAGGGGAGGCATGCACTCAGCCAGAGCCCTCAGCAGACGGCTCACTTCAAAGCATCGCCACGGGACTAGCGGAAGGTTCATCTATCATCTCATCAGTGATGTTGCTTCAAAAACTTGGGGGCCCTGAAAATTCGTCAGCATTGCAAGGGTCCATTCTAGCCAGAAGTTCCGTTTGTTATTGATTCATTGATGCTTCTGCAGCCCTGACTTTGAGATGGTCCCATGATCAATCTTGATCCCTCCATTTGTCCATGAGGCTGGGAAACCAAACAGTAAACCATCCCCAAAATCACCATTAAATGACTTGTACAAACCATCCCCAGATGGTAGGTTTATCTCGGAAGAATCTCCGGCTTCAGTGAGTTGCAATGGTGGAGACGTTTGAGGCTTTCAGAATCATGTGGAACAGTGCCTTTTCCACACTTTCTGTTGAACAGTAGCCCCTTTGACCTTTCCTCATTTTTTCCCAGAATTGGATGATGGACAAGGAACGGGGAAGCCTTATACTTGTGATGAAAAACCATGATCAATGATCATGCTTTCCTGTAGATTTCCAGGTGATCGTTGGTATGACCACTTGGGGGTGGACTACACCTTTGACTGCTCCTGGGCTCCCCGAGAATTCGGTCAAAGCTGGTGAACTGGGTAACGTTTACCCGGTAAACCTTGGTTTAGTATCTAGTTGGTTTTTGTCTTGGTGATCTCTGTAATGTATAGAAGATATGTGATATGAGACGGCATGGTATGATATGATATGAATAGCCGCATGCATGAACATATCCTCATAGTGAGCAGCTCCAAGATCGAGTCTTGGCTTTGTTTCTGCCTTAGCGTCGGATCCCTAAGATTGGCCACGTGCAAAACTGACAAGGGGCCAGCTCGTTTTTATGTGCATTCTCATGGCTGACATATCTGGTGTCATTGTTTTGGGGTGATACGGTCACTGCTTGGTTCATCTATGTCCTCGTTTGTGATCACATCCCCCTGTGTTGAAGTCCATTGTGTTGAGCCAATCGCCATGTAGATAAGTTCTTTGTTCATTTCCGTTGACACTTGAGCCAATATTTTTGGTACTGCAGCATATGGTTCAGATCTACACATTTATGGCAATTTCAACGCCATTTTGCCAAGAACCGCATACTCACCTCTTAGATTCGGCTGAGGGCCTTCTTTTTCTTGGCCATGTTCAGCCGTCATTTCTTAGCTTCAATTGTTGTGAAGTGCCTCCCCGTTTTGAACAGCTTTTACTTCACCATCCTGGACTTGGTCGAGAAGTGAGGCTTTGTGACCCTCTACATTGAATGGTAGAAACTTTCGTTTCCACCAGCAAAAAAACAACAAAGTGAAGTACCTTCCTGTAACCACACCAAGAAATGTGGAAAACCCACCCTTTGCAGTGCAGATCATTTTCCTATGGTCTCCCATGGTTTCCCATGGTTTCCCCATTAGGTTTTCTCACATTTGCCTTAGTTTCCCCCAGGGGGTTCCATTCCGCAGGTGGAACTCCCCAACCGACCTCCGAGGCACTGGGAATGTGGAGGTCATGCGTGCACCGCGGCTGGGGCGAGAGCTGCGTCATTGGCGTGGCAGCCGCTGGCAAGGCACCTGGGGATGGGAAATTTGGTGATTTTCGTGGGAGTTGTATGGGAAATCACGGGAAAAACGTAGGGAGATTCGGTGAGAAATTCATGGGAGCATGGGGTTTATTAGGGCTTTTGAAATTTAGACAGGACTAGCCATCAAAAATATACCCGGTGGTAAACTAATTAAGGTAGGTATGGAACCCCTCACGGATTTCTTGGGAAATTATATCTAAATTGGTGGAGTTTCCGTGTTTATATTGATTTACTGTTGAGAATGTTGGGTTTGCTTATCAGAACTAGATGTTGGCCTGCTAATAATGCTTGTTCAGCACCAGGATCCTCAGGGTTTTTGTATTGGTACAAGGTAAACCGAAGAACCCCATTTTGGGAAGATCATAATGTTCAATACCAGGTGGTTTTTGATGTTCTGGGTTGCCACATTCCAAGTTTCGGTATGGTATATCGGGGGTATATCCACTCCACGTGGATGCCTTAAGTTCGAGCGAAGACACAGACAATGAATATTGGGATCGGTCCTTCGCTTCTGATCACTTCTGATCGTTTCTGATGAGACCACACGTTCGGGATCGATTCCGCAGTCATTGGACATCCTGATCTCAGCTTTGGTTGTAGTGATGCCTTTCCGGTGCAGGGTTCTGCCACTGTTTTATTCATCTTATCTCAACAGCCATATCGCCACCTCAAGCAAAGTTCATGAGGTGCAGCGCGGCACCATCTTTTTCGGCGAAACTTTTCAGAAATCAAATGAAGCAAAGAATCTCTGCTCCTGACTTTCTTTAAAGAAAATATGCTCGACGCGAAGTTTATTGTTTGCCAAGCACATGTTTGGCTCGTCCAAACACTTCCCCCAACCCAACTAACCCAACTCTGAACCCTCCGGCATCTGGGTCTTCAAACATCTTCAAACATCATCTCTTATGGTTGTGGTCGATTCGCCACCCATCGTTTCATCATTTTCCCCCAATCATGGCCATCCCTTGGGGTAGCGCCGTGGCCGATGGCTGACGCCGACCCCGACACCTGGTCCCTTCCCTCCGAAGCGCGGCCGGCGCCGTTGGACACCTTGGACGCCGAAGGTGCCAGGGCTGCCTCGCCGGCGGAGTCGGTGCGGCGCTTGTATAGCAAGCTGGATGAGGAGTTGCTGCGAGGACGTTTCCGAAGGATTTTTTTTCATGTAAATGGTAACTGTCATGTGTCCGGAAATGCACTAGATGGTTTGGTGAGTGTATACAACAAATGCATAATTGCGTATATATATATAATATATATATAATATATATATATTATATATATATACACTGTAATATATCGACACACACACAGACACACACACACACATATATATATATATATATTTACACACACACACATACACACACATACACACATATATATATATATATTTGTATACCAGTATACATATTACCCTCTCCGATCTCAGAGTGAATTGCAAAAGACGGATGATACCATTGGTTCTGTCAACAGTGCGCCATCCCATTGTCGCTTCCAGGAGTGGCACTCAGTGAATGCCTCAGGAACTGCGGCCAACATTGGCAACGGCCTCTGGCGGAGAGCATGCACGACATCGAGAAGCAAAGCTATGGCAAGAGTTTCAAAGTTGCCAGGTGCTGGTTGGCATTGCAGATCCCGCTGGCTAGCAGCCAAAAACATCTCAAAACCGGAATTTGTGCTCAGAAAGCGATGTGGATTCCGAAAATTGTTCCGTTTCCTTTCCATTTCCTTTCCAAAGAGTCCATAAGCACGACATCCTGTGAACTCACAAGGGTCTCTTAACCGGAAATCATGGAAGTCCGGTGCATCAGAGCTGTTTGTTTTCAGACCTCCCGACCAGGTATCACCATTTCTTGAGCCACGATTGGGAAACCAGCGGCACCAAAAAGGTCTCCTCTGTGCTACTCCTGACCAACTCGCTCGCCGCATGTTTGGCCACCATGTTCTGCAGCGTTTTGCTGGGCTTGGTGAGGGACACAAGGAGGCCTGAAGGCTTGCGACCTCAGAGGCAGGTTGCTCCAGGTGTAATTATTTCGCCACACTTTGGGGAGGATCTATGATGGTGTAACCGGGGTAACTATCCCAGAATGGTCCAACTATTCGTAACTATTCAGATGGGTGAAGGGCCATGATTTTTTGAGATTGGTGAGGTTGCACCTCTTTACCGGTTTTGGGGTCCCCATGGGTCCCCTGATACTCTGGGGTGTTAGGAACAGTCCCTGAGGCATGTGAGCAGCTTCCTACCGTATGCGGCCTATCTTTTCTTCCTTTTATTTTGGCAAACTTTGCGGACAGCAGCCAGGACCCATCTGATTCATGAAGCAGCTGTAGCCCATGCTTATTCAGCTTGTGGATAGAACTATAAATAAATAAATGTATCTATATATATATATATTATATAGATAGATTAAACACATATAGATAGTATTAAATAGTGTATTTGGGCATTTCTCAAAATTCTCGGTGCGCCTAAGCCACCCAGGGTGATTTTGGGGTATCAAATTTTATGTTTTATTTTATATATCTACCTCACCACATATTCATTTTTTCTGAAAAGGACATCTGCCAGGAGACCCGTCGTTGTCTTTCATGATAGGCTGTGCATTGCGCAGCATGATCGTGCTCTGAAACAGAAGGGTATTCTGGGACTGTCAGCATTTTTAGATCGATCAGAGCCTGGCATTTGCCGAAACTTTCGCTTTTGTTTTGTTTTTGATCTTTAAGTTGCAGTTTCTCCTTGCTTAATGTACCAGAGATCCACTTGGACTCTTTCATTTTTGTGGGTGGATGGGCCAACATCTAAGGAACATATGATCATTTTGTGGTCGCATCGCTATTTTACGCGCATGTGGTGCTGTTATGAGCTTGCCACTTATCTCCGGCACCCAGAAGCTGTCAGACCTTTGACGTTGTTTGCAGTCGACATGTCCGTCGTGACCCTTGGTTTTCTCATTTGTAGTTTTCCCTGCCCCTTGCAAACAGGCTGGGCTCACAATAAATAACCAAATAAATAAGTAAAGCATAGTAAAACAACGAATGAATGAAAACGAGCTAAATAATGTTAAGTATATACATCAATCAATAACAAACGAATAAACAATAATTGCATGAACGAATAAACCGATGAATGAATAAAACAGATATTGATGCGAATGTACCACCAGGAATGAGGGGATTACTTGGAATATTACTTGGTGCTTCCCGGTTCGGTTTCCTTCCTTGGCACATCCTTCAGGATACTCTTGCTGAAGGTCGTCGGAGTTCTATTGATTGTTCAAGCCCAGATGAGGAATTTGTTGCTGGGAGACGATTTGCAGCTCCGTGTGCTCTTTGGTACACAGGCAATCATTGGCTTTAGCTTTTTCAGCCCCTGCAGAAAGTTAGCACGTAATTTTTTTTATGTTTCCCTTGCCCTTGCCATTTGTAATTCCACCAAGTTGTGGTAGACCCAATCATAAACCATATCCGATCTTAACAATGTACGGAAAGATTCTAAACCATCTATACCGAACGTTTCGCTTTCTCATTTGATTTGCCACACATCTTTATCAGAGAAAGACTTGAAAGCAACAATAGCAAAAATGCACCCAGATCAGCCAGATCTCAGAAAAGTGGCGGAGGTTCCGTGGCGGTCTACTGGACCGTAGGGGTTTCCAAAGATCTGACGGACCTGGAGCCGCAGCTCTCGGAGTTTCGGGTCCAGTTCGCTGAGACCTTCTGCTGCACCTCGCAGCACATGGGGCCATCCGGACAGGTGTTAGCCTGTGACCGGCAGCTGATCTTTGAAGCCATCAGGCTAGTGGAGTTAGGGATTTTCGAAAGAGTTGGGTGTGTTATGTTTGTTGGTTTATAAAGCCAATTGAGTATAGATATTTAGAGAAAAGGCCGAGTTATATTTGTTCTGAGCCAATTGAGCTAATGTTGAACCCCAGCTGCCTAATTTTAACAGAGAAGAAAGGTCTGAAAGACTGGAAAAATGTGTTTGCTGCCTTTTGTTGGGTTTACCCGGTTTGCCCCACATTTTGTTAGTAAACCCCCCATAGTATCCAATTTTGGAGGTTCAAATTCACATTCCATCACGGTTTTTGCTGGTTTCATTTTCCATTGAATCAACATTGTTTGCTGTTCAATCTCAATCTCCATGTTTGTTGATTTAATCTTCATTCGATCTTAGTTCTTGCATATGGATTTCCATTAAATATACCAACATCCTTCATGAACCGCCCATGAAACTCACCTTTTTGTGGTTGGTGAATGCCAATCCTCCGCCAGGGACTGGTACGGCGCCGGCGAGACTGAGGAACAGCTGGAAGACTTCAACCGCACCGTGCGCGCGACGCTCAAGAGGAGGGCGCTGGAAGGGGCCCAGACGGCGACGGTGCCACTGAGCATCATGCTGTACAGCGCGTTGTGTCTGGGCTGGACAATCCAGATTTAAAATAGGTGTTGTAATTGGGAAATTGTCTTATAAATTGTGTTTCAATGAAGTCTATGGGTTGGACAATCCTTAAAAAAATGTGTGTATAATTGGTTTTCAGCCAGTTACATGGCCCAACAAGCTAATTCCATGGCCCATTTTTAGTCGTAGTTCTTCAGTTTGCAAGGCGTTTTGTTTCCAGGGTTCCACAAGGGCTGGCATTTTTTAAAGTTTAAAGATAAATTGAACATTAAAAAAATTACCCTTGGAGAGGGCATATCCCCAACGGTTGGGCGAGGTGATGTTTAATTAGGGCATTTACCAAACCCCCTGTATGGTCCTGTATTGGAATGGGTGATATGGGTGACATAGTGAGAAATTAATTAGAATGGATGATGAATCGCAGTGGGTTGCACCATGTTTTTGCCTACGGCCCGAAAACCGACCCAACGTTTTTGCGTTTTTTTTGCGTTGTGATATGTTGGGGGGCGGGGTGTGGGGTGGGGGGTGTAATAACGTCTTGTGTCTACGTTATCATCGATTTTCTTTGGCGAACACACTTCATGTTACGTTGCACACTTAAGGTTTTGGGCGGAGGGTGGGGTGGGGGTAATAACGTCCTGTGTCTACGTGATCATCGATTTTCTTCGGTGAACACACTAAATGTTACGGTGCAAACTTCTGTTTTGGGCGGGGGGTGGGGCGGGGGGGTGCAATTACATCCTGTGTCTACGTCATCATCGATTTTCTTCGGTGAACACACTTCATGTTACCTTGTATACGTAATTACACGTATGTTTTAATTCGTTGAACACATTTCATGTTACGTTGCACGCGCGTGTTTCAGTTCGGTGAACGCACTTCATGTTACGTTGCACACGTGTGTTTTAATCCGGTGAAAAATGGTGAAAACACTTCATTGTACGTTGCGTGCGTATGTTTTTTCGGTGAACACACTTAATGTTACGTTACACACGTATGTTTTGATTCGGTGAACACGCTTCATGTTCCGTTGCACGCGTGTGTTGTACTTTGGTGAACACGCGTCATGTTGAGTTGCACACTTCTGTTGTACTTCGGTGAACACACTTCATGTTACGTTGCACACTTCTGTTGCACTCCGTGAACACACTTCACGTTACGTTGCGCACTTCTGGTTCCCTTTCGGTGAACACACTTCACGTATCTTCACGTTACGTTGCGCACTTCTGTTCAACTTCGGTGAACACATTTCATGCTTCGTTGCGCACGTCTGTTTTTATTCCGTGAACACACTTCATGTTATGTTATGCAAGTTGAAGTGATGGAAAAGAATCGCTGGCGCTGTGCCGAAACATAAAACCATCCAAAGAACGTAACGTTTTTTGAGGGTATCCAACATGCATTTTTGAATTCCCACTGCAATAAAACAATGATTTTTCATAAATCCCAATGGACATGAAGTGCCAAAAGACACCACCATGACATAGATATGTGGCAAATGCCAAGTTCTCAACAAGACGACGAAAATCACAATGAACATGAAAATTGATGAAAACGCTTGGCCGATTTCCGGGCCGGTCGGATGTTTTTGTATGTAACTTATTGAGGACATACTTGGATAATATAATATAATATAATATAATATATATATATATACATACGTATATATTATAGATATACACATGCCCAACAATTACATAATTGGGAATAGAAACGGATGAACAATTCTTGAAAGCTTTGGTCAACCTTGGATGTAAATTGGGGGTTCATTGATATTAAACCAGTCCCACATGTGAATGTACCCAGAAAATGGGAATGCAACCAGCAACAAAAATGGGTGTTTTTTTTCCACGCCTTGGATGGGCCAGATTCGGAACATCCACCGTCAGATCCGTCCCTTCGAAAACTATGTGTTTTCTATCATATGCATGATCGAAGGAAGTTTCGAAGTCAAACTTCCGACAATATGGACAGATGAAAAGCAGAGCTGGGCAGAGGCAGAGAGAAGAGGAGAGTAGAAGAGAGAAGATCAGAGAAGAGAAAGAGTCAGAAGAAAGCAGATGCAGATGCGCGAAAAGGTAGGAAAGTCGCGAAACACTGTGTTTTTCCAATGATTTGGGGCTCCGGAGGGTCGAAAAGTAGGCTCGCTAAAGCGGCGGGTGCGGAGCCAGCTGGCCAGATGAGAGATGAAAAATTGCACGCCGTTGTGGCGCGAAGCACATTTCCAAGTTAAAATGTACAAAGCACACCACGTTCGAACCACTTTTGGAAGTTGAGATGTTGAAAAAGTGCACGCCGTTGTGGCGCGAAGCACATTTCCAAGTCAAAATGTACAAAGCACACCATTCTCGGACCACTTTTGGAAGTTGAGATGTCAAAAAAGTGCACGCCTTGTGGCGCGAAGCACATTTCGAAGTCTAAATGGTAAAAACACTAGGGGTTCGGACCACTTTTGGAGGTTCAGATGTCGAAAAAGTGCACGCCGTTGTGGCGCGAAGCACATTTCGAAGTCAAAATGTTAAAAGCACCAGGGGTTCGGACCACTTTTCGAGGTTCAGATGTCGCTTCGCGTGCAGGCGCAAGGGATTGTGCACCTTGTCAAAAGTGAGCAAAACGTGAGGGTTTTGTAACGTTTTCAACTACAACCACCACTACACCACACTACACTCCAATACATTACACTACACTACAACTACCACTACACCTTCACTACATTCTACTGCGCTCCACTACACTCCACTACACTACATTCAATTACATTCAATTACTCTCAATGACACTACACTACACTACACTGCACTTTGCTGCACTGCACTGCACTACACTACACTACATTCCACTACACTACACTACACTACACTACACTAACTACAACTACAACTACAACTACAACTACAACTACAACTACAACAATACTACATGTACTCTACGCTGCACTACACTACACTAATTACACTACACTACACTGCACTCCACTACACTACGTTGAATAACACTGCACTACACCTACAACTACAACTGCAACTGCAGCTAAAACAATACTACATTTACACTACACTACACTACACTAATTACACTACACTACACTACACTGAATAACACTGCACTACACCTACAACTGCAACTGCAACTACACTACATTACATTACACTACACTAATGACATTACACTACACTACACTACACTACATTTACACTACGTCACACTAACTACAACTACAACTATATAAGACTACACTACACTACACTACGCTACACTAATTACACCACACTGCGCTACACGACAGAGAGAGAGAGAGAGAGATAGATGGATGCATAGATAGATAGGTGGGTAGGTAGGTAGATGGTCAGAGAAAGAGACTGAAAGAGAGAGAAAGAGAAGAGACCTCAACCACCTTTCGGTCCATCAGTGGCTTCGCTCTGCCATCCGTGATTCACAACAACCAACCTCTCCTATAGGTTTCCTATTTTTGAAACTTCCGCCACGGCCTTGTGCGGTACTACTGGTACCGCACGACGAGATCGTCGAGCTTCATTTGTGCTTTTTCACATGGACCCAGGTGCACTGTGGCACCATTGGTCTGTGATGGCGTGACCCATATCAAAGCCATCTGGCACTGGAGATCTGATGTGGGACCCTGGTTGGCGTTGTGGAGGTGGGGGTCAAGTTTTTGTGAAGTCAGTTGTCCCTTTTGCTGCAGGTCATTGGGGCCCCTTTGGTGGCTGTTTTGCTGTTAAATTCCCATGGACTTTTTGAAGACTTTTCCGTAGCAGGTCTTTGGCAGTCTTGTCTTGGCTGGCGAGTTATGCCTACACTGGCGTGCTTTGGTACCACGTGTTTGTGAAGGTGTGCCAGGTGCTGTATCCCTATTTGGAGAAGATGACACGGTGGAAGCAGACCCTGCTGCCGTGGTGTGCCAACACAGGTCTCGGGCTCATGATGCTGGGGATTTTTGTTTGGCCCTACGAAGTGTTGGATCAAGCCGGCCATGGAGATTTCTGGCCCTTGCTGGCAGCAATCTTGTTACTGCCTGGTGTTTACATTTTTTCGCTCCGTTCATGTCGCTGCAGTCAATGTTTCACCAACATATTCCAGTTCAAGGGTTTCAAGAGGATTGCCATCAAGTGACTTATGGAACCAAAAGCTGCGGGGTGGACTCAGTGGATGCGTCTTAAGGACCACGTGTTGCGTCTGAAGGAGAGAGACATTGCCAGTCTTGGAAGTTGGATGAAATTAAGCTAGACCAGAAAATTAAGCTAGGCCAGTTTTCCCTCCTGCGGATTTGAAAATCCGCAATGGTTACTCCAATGATTTCATCCCATGTTTGGCCAC